AGAGCCCTTGACAAGAAATAAGGTATAACAGCTTTCCTCATTAATTCCACTGTTGATCCCTTAACTAGAAATGTTATTAAATATCACAATCATAAAATGAGTTTACTTAAGTAATGTCTTAGAGTTTCACCAATGAAACTGATCGTTATTAATAAAGAACTCAATTTCAATATTTAAACTATTTTTTTAAATTGAGCTCCTGATACATGTCAGAGACCTTAATGGGCAATAAAAAACAAAGTAAAACATCTATGACTTCAAGGGGCTCATACTTACAAGAAGACAAGACAGATGTACAATAAAATAGTTATTGTAAGATAAATATTGCTAATTGAAATTACACATATGAGAGGGAGTGGCAGCATAAAGGAGAAAATGCCTAACAGTCTGTTGAGGTTGTGAAAGGTATTTCAGAAGAGGGAATAACTTGAGCTTAGTCCTACAGAATGAGTAGGCCTTCACTAGATAAGCGAGAAGACAGGGATTATTCTAGGCACCTTATTGTAGCAGAACCAAGGCATGAAACCGTCTGGAATATCATGAAATACCAGCTATGTCTGAAAAGGCAACAATGAAGTAAGATTTAACTGTTAAGAGCCAAGTAGAGAATTTTACCCTGGACAGAATAAGGAGCCCACAATGGGAAGACACAGAAGGGATTTCTACCAAGAGTGGGAGATTGAATTAGGATCACTCTAAAGTCTCCTTAACCACAAATATTATTTTTAGTATATATCTTGGTAAAGGGGACAAGTGGTCTTTATTTAAAAACACAAAAATAGTATTTTAAACTGATATTTTAAGTCATCCCTCTGGTTTCACTAATTCAGTTTGAACTTAACATAATTATTGTGGGGACCTGGAATTGGCCACCCCAAGATATGTCTCTTTGGCATCAGGATTATTTGAGGCTGATTGCTTTTGATAAACTGGGACAGGGAAGGAGGCTCTGAGGAATGGAACTTGCCCTTCCTTAGGACACGTTTACATTTGTAAGGCAAATCTCTATCTGTAAAATGTGCCTCCCTCTCTGTACCAGGAAGAAAAAAGGAGATGACCTTCTCTCTCAAAACTCTTAATCAATACCAAAGGCAAGGACTTAAATCTGCATTTTATTGTGCTTCTCTGGTAACCTCCTGTAGCTGACTTCCCTCCCCCTCCCAACTTTGGCATTTCTTTAAGGATTAAGCATCTTTCCTTAGGCTAGGAACTGATTGCTGCACTCACCTGTGACCGCCCAGCTCCAGACAATCAACTAGCCTCCTGCTACGCCCACCAAGATAGCCGACCACTACCTGCTGTGTCCATCAAGCACTGTGCCGACAGGGCAATCTTGTGACTATTGTGGGAGGGACATTTCAATCACATGTGAAACACCCTGTTTGGGGGTATATAACCAGTACGTGCACCCCACTTCTTCGGTGCCCTTTCTTCCTTTGGGAAGAAAGGCCCCGGGCCATGGTTCCTCATAAAGCTTTGTTTAATTTTCTCTTGCTATTCTGTCTCATGTGAATTTAATTTGTTCTCCAGCCAGATGAACCCCCATTTGGGGAGAGGAAATGTCTTCCTCCCCTACATTATCATCTCCATAGAGAACATCCCATTGGTTTTCACTGTGCTTTTCTGAATCCCCTACCAGACACCCAGTAAAAAGAAACAGACGTAAAACTGACCTAATGTGGAGTATAGCCAGAATACTTCAGAGCATTTTCATGTTTTACCCAGTTAAATAAAACAATAAACAGTTTTTATTCCTAAAGTCAGTTATCACTAAAGCTTAAACAATCACAGCTGATAAATGTAATGTACATCTAGATCATAAGATGAAGTACTGAGTCTTGGGCATAATTTTTGCTGAGAAAAACATGAAAGAAATAATTTCTACCTCTTTCTTAATATTCTCTACTTGATGAGTCACTGTCATTATACTTCCCTTTAATTCTGTAAACATGGTTTCCTTTAGTCGTTGAACATAGCTGCTAAACCCAATATCTGGGCCTCCTCAGAGACAGTTTCTAGTAACTCATTTTTTTATGTGCATGGGTCACACTTTCCTGTTTCTTTGCATGTTTCATAATTTTTTGTCGAAAATGACATTTAAGATAAAAATTGCAGCAACTCTGGATTCTGACCTCCTTAACAGAGTTGTTGTTTTTGATTATTTGTTTAGTGACTTCCCTGGACTGATGCTGTGGAGTCTGTTTCCCTTGCACCGTGTAGTTGTGGTATCTCTTGTTCTTCTTCCTTTTTTTGAATTATTGCTTCTATTTTTAAGCCTAGCCTCCTGGGTGCTGCCCTGGGTCAGTACAGCTTTGTGGCCAGCAAACAGTTGGTCTGAGTCAATAAGCCTATAAGGCTTCCACGTTTTGCCAATGGATCTGTGTGTGGCTTGGGGAATATACTCGAAGTTCATCCAGTTTTTTTTATTTTTTTATTTTTTTTATTTTTTTTCCTTTTTCTCCCCAAAGCCCCCCGGTACATAGTTGTATATTCTTCGTTGTGGGTCCTTCTAGTTGTGGCACGTGGGACACTGCCTCAGCGTGGTTTGATGAGCAGTGCCATGTCTGCGCCCAGGATTCGAACCAACGAAACACTGGGCCGCTTGCAGCGGAGCGCGTGAACTTAACCGCTCGGCCATGGGGCCAGCCCCAAAGTTCATCTAGTTTATAAGTCTGCCCTGGATTCTACTTTCTGCCATCACAAGGCCTCACATTCAGCCGTGGACTAGCGGCCCCCTAAGACTCTCTCCAGTTGTTCCTGAACATATTTTCAGCTCTATGCATACACATAACATTCTAGACTATCAGGGATAAGTAGAACTTTATCAAGGCCAACTTTGGCTATACTGTCTCTGTATTTTCGTTGTCTGCCCCAACAAGCAGTTATACCTCAAGCCTTCCCTTAGCGTTTGCCAGTGGGATCATTATTGTTTCCATTAATCCCCCTGCACATGGAATTTCCCACGCTCTGCTTCATATAAAGTCAGTCCCCTCTGGCAGCAGAGCTGCCAGTTTTTCAGCATGACTGCCCCAGTAGAACTTTTGTGCCAAGGATCTGGGGGATGGAGGATGCGGTTGGGAGCTCTAGGCAAAATGCCACAGACTCCTACTGCTCTTATTGAGGTTCAGTAGATTTTCTTGATAAACGCTTCTCAATTTGTTATATGCCTTGGGTCATTTTCCAGAGTCCTTAAATTGTTGTTTTTGACATTTCTGTCTAGTTTTGTTGCTGCTTTTGAGGGAGAGGATTTGCTGAGCTCCTCACTCAGCCATTCCAGAAGTCTATGAAGACTTCCTCTTGACCCCTGTGTCAATAGGCATCCGCAGAGGGGTGATATTAAGTCAAGAGCCCAAGCTCTCTCTTGACTTCTGCTGATGGAAGCCTTAAAGCAAGGAAGTGGGTGATTACTTTGAGTGTGAGTTCTCTCACCTCTGGGATGGAAAGTAGAATGGGAGTGACTTCTTTGCCTAGTACATAATAAGACTTGGGGATAAAACTAAAATAGCATCCTGATCATTTCAGTAGCTTCTGGAGCTAATATCAAAGGGGCTCTTATGAAAGGTCTTGAAGGACTGACCACTCTGTCCTACTTGGTCCAAGTATTTACATAAGAGAAGTGGCAAGGATTATAAAGTAATCTCAAAATGTGTAAGCAGAACTTTCCTGATACTCTGCTTAACTCTCTCACTTGAGAGGTATCAAAACAAAAGCTTAGCCATTAACATTACTCGATGAACTGGAAAAAGAACCAATACTGAGATTCACAGCAAACTTTAAACAGAGACCAATGCTTTTCATAAACACTACCTGCATTAGAATCATCCATGATAATTCTTAAAAGGTAGATTTCTAGGTCTCACCCTTTTATGTAAGAAAGCAGAATCTATGGGGGTAGAAATCTATATTTTTAAGAAGCAACCAAGTAATTATCATGCATAAAAAGTTTGAAAATCAGACCCTTTCCTTTATCAGCCCTACTCACGTCTCACTCAAATCAGAATTAATTATATGGATTAAGAACCCAAAATTGGGATGCTAATCCATATAGTAGCAATCTAGGGAACAGAGCTTTAAAGTAAGAACTATAAAGGGTAAAAATCCTTCTTCCTCAAGGTGTGCACTTTCTTGGACCTTTCTTTTCCTGTTTGGATTGTTTCTGCTTCAAACTCACCTATAATATACTACTTACCTTGATGAGAGGCCCAGGTTGCCTCTTGGTTGGAAAGCAGTAACTTTGGGAAGGGAGTTCACACTTACACCCTGTGTAAGGGGCAAAAGGACAAGTCCTCGCATGTTCGTAGAATGTCTAGTCTAGCTTACCAGGGTAAAGATCAGAGATTTCAGTCCAAAACCCCAGTTAGCAATAAAACATAGTCTATTATCTGGAGCTTTTTTCTTATACTTGTTTCTCAGGAAACTCAGGAAGGTGGAAGCATTATGGCAATCAGTGGTATAGCATCAAAGAATTTAGAGAAACTTTAGTTATACAAACTCATAATTTACATTCAGTTTTTAATACCATATTTTGTGGCAATTGACACAGAGCTTTCAAAAGTCTTCATGAGATTTGCTAGTATAATCTTGTAAAAATTTTATTATTACTAAATTTCTGAAATTTTACACTAAAAGAACAGAATTTCTCTTGTGTTATTAAAAAATGTTTATTCATGGTCTAAAATTACAGAAATTGTTGTTTAGATGAGAATAAATACATCTTGAAGTAAGCCCTGGATATGTGGATTTGTAGGGTAGGCATTACCTACCATTAAGTAGGATGAAAGGCCTCACCATTAGTTGACTATATTTCTTTTCATTGATAAGTTTCAGTAATGTAAACATGAAAATATTTTAATAGGATTTTATATAGTTAAAAATAATTATAAAGAAATAATTATTAGTCTGAGTTTAAATTTCCCACAAATCCAGCAGATTAAAAAGTAGGTTATCTTTATACCAACTAGGAGAAAGATCTCTATACACTGAATTAATCAAGCTCTTACCTGTACTCTGGGTCACTGTCATAGGCAGAGTCTCTGTATAAAAGACCTCGCTTCAGTTCTAGTTCGTCTTCTTTCTCTGGGTCTCTCTCATCCTGCAAAATTTAAAGATTTCCATTAATTGAATTTATAATTAAAATGATGCCTATGTTTCTTTGGGAAATGCTCTCCCTCTCCTCCATTATAAGAAATTGAATTAAATGCTTGGATTTCTTAGGAAATAGAAAGGTAAGTGAGGATTTATTATTCTGTTCAATAAAACTAATATAGTCTTATAATATTTTTGCTAATACTGCTTATCAAAGACTAGACACCCAGTAGATATTTCCTGCCTGTATCAACGAATGAACAGAAATGAACACTGTGTCACAGTATGTAGTAAGATGTATAGTAATGTCATACACACTATTTGTGAACTCCTAAAATATTGTACCTGCACTCTGAAGAATAAGTATTTGGGAAAACTATGTAGATGTAAGTATTCTCACATGTACCTATGACTTAGAAAGGAAATGACTGAGACTTATCACTCACAAGCCAAAACACAATAACAAGCCACAAGAGGCAAAAATGAAAGGCACAGTAGCTGGAATCAAAGTACATGGCTGCTCCTCCTTCTATGGGCAACCTGTCCTTAACTTCTAACAGACACATTCAAGGGCATAGGAAGTAGGATTCCAAAGACACAGCTTTGTAAACTATATCGTTCACAGTAATTACGTTCTCATGTATGGTAATTTTTATAGCATTTAGTATCATATATCTTTCTCAACTACTAGTCAGTGCCCTTGTTACTTTGTCAAACAAGAACAGAAATAAAGAGAACTAATAAAAGGAACTAGTAAGCTCAAGTAGATTGCTGTAAGGATTAGTATTAATAAGGGGTTTGTTCACTTTATATAAGAAATTAGCTGAACAAAAAATTATGAAGAAAAATGATTTAAAAAATTTGCTGATAGCATGAGACTTGGAAGAGAGCAGAGCATTCAGTCAAAAAATGTAAGCAACTGATAGTTAAGCAAATTTAAAAATCACAGAAAATGTGAATATTTATAATTATTATAGCTTCTAGGTGAACTGAAGTCTCTTACCATTATGAAGTAACGCTGTTTATTTCTATAAATGCTTTTTCCCTTAACTTTTTTTGTTTACTATTAATATAGCTACTATAGCTTTCTTTTAGTTATTGCTTGGATGGTATATATTTGTCCTTTTATTTTCAAACTTTCCTTAAGTTTATATCTTTTCCTTAAATAGCATACAGCACGATGTTGCTTATTTTTGTCCAGTCTGATAAGTCAGTGAAGTGGGGCATTTACTACATTAACATCTCAGAAAAGGTAACTGCCTGTAACGAGTGCAAAAGACTCTACAAAAGAAAGTGTAAGAAATAAAAAATGTAATATGTTTTCAATCTTCAGAATTATGTTACAAGAAGAACTGAATGAAAGAGATGGAAATAATGACTTTTAAAATTCTATCTATATTTTACATCTATATTTTACATATTTTAAATTATATCTATATTTTTAAGCGATATAAGACATAAACATAAATCAACATTCCTTGTTTGATTTTGTCAATACAGTTGAAAAAAATTAATTTTTGACCAGGAGTAATAAAAAAATGTTGACTAAATTTTAAAAGTTTATATAAGAAAAAATATATAAAAGTACCTTTACGAAAATCTGAACCTCAATTATTCACTAAGTAAAATCCCTATTTTGAGTGGCGTCCTTCTATCCTAGACTCTGAGGACAGTAGATGACTAAGACATGGTTCCTGCACCCATGTGGAACAAGGTTTGTTTGTTCTATGAAGCTTTATGGGTAGAATGGATCAAAGGGTGGAATTATTAGGAAACATAGTAAAGGACAAAGTTAGGAGGAACTGTCTAATTAACGGAGCATTCTAAAAACAAAATGGCTGTCTTAAGAGGGAGTAAGATCACAATCACTAAAACTATTCATGCAGAGCATGGATACCCATCCAGGTCAAGGATGTCATGGAGGGGAATTCTGCCCTGAGACAAAAAAAAAGGACTAGATGACCTTCATGGTTACTCCTTTCAAATTTTAAGAGTATATTTTGTGACATTTTGTATATATTCAAAACATATATCTCTAATAAGAGTCCTTGTATAGTCTTTCTTTTTTAAGGTCAAGTTATATAAGCAAAGCAAGAAACATCACACCTTATTATAAGCTATTAACTATGGGTAAAGCAAGCATTTGAAGAGATGTATCATTCTCGTTAGTGCCAGAAAATACATTCCTGGGGCACGGAGAAGAGAGTCCCCTCTTATTCCTCACCAACATTCCCATTTGCCCACATGTAAATACAGAAAAAGATGGATGACACCAACATTTGTTGAGATCCTTCAAGATATCTAGGGCTGAGTTAGGTACCTTGTAAGCCCTCAACCTTATGAAAAAGGTACTGAAAAATTAATAATTTGTCCAAAGACACAAGTTATTAAATGGAAGAGCTAGACTTTAAACCCAGATCTAACCTGATTTACATTATACTGCCTCCTAGAATGCAAATAAGCTGGACTATGAAACCAAACACTCCATCCCAAGCCATTGTATTATTCTCCTCCATGCAAATTAGGCTCAAACTCTTTCGGCTGATATCTAGTTATTTTTTTTTAGTGAGGGTATTCTGAAATAATATAGCCTGGAAGAAACTTTCAGGATTTCCATGAAGAAATGTCTTTCTTTCAGCAAAAGTCATTAAGAAAATGAAACATTATTAAAAGCAGCTCTGGGTTCTCCTTCCCTAAAACTGGCAGTAAGCTGGATGTTCTCTCGAGATTCCCTTCATCAGTGATCACTACTTTACACATGTAACTGACATCACACTTAGAATATGCCTGGGACAAAGAAACAAAAGGTATCCACTCATGCTTGCTAATTGGAAATCTTAGGACAAAAGTGGTTAAATAGTCTAAGACAAAGCCAGAACTAAAATGCAGTGATCTCACTAATTATGTCATATTTAAGGAAAACATGCATCTGTCATTCTCAAATGAAATTCTCATGTATAGTTAAAATAACTGTTTAAGATGTGTTTCATTGCTATCAAATTCAAAACATTATTTATAATCAGTTGTGTACAAGAACAAGAATTCAAATAGAATTTGATCACTAGTTCTAATTTGCATTATTACCCTGGACAAATCACTTAAACCTAATGGCTTTAATTTCCTAACTCATAACCTAGAGAAAATTTAGGTAGAGTTGCTCAAAGTTACAAAGATAAGAAGTTGCAGAGCTGGCCTTGAACTCAGGTTTTTCTAATTCTATAACCTGGTTTATATTACACATACAAGAAAGTCTAGGGGGCCAGCCCCATGGCCAAGTGGTTAGGTTCGTGCACTCCACTTCGGCGGCCTAGGGTTTCACTGGTTTGGATCCTGGGCGTGGACACGGCATGGTTCATCAAGCCATGCTGAGGCGGTGTCCTGCATAGCACAACCAGAAAGACCTATAACTAGAATATACAACTATGTACTGGGGGGCTTTGGGGAGAAGAAGAAGAAAAAAAAGAAGATTGGCAACAGATGTTAGCTCAGGTGCCAATCTTCAAAAAGAAAAAACAAAAACAAAATAACACCAAGAAAAAACATCAAGTTAAAAAACAAAAAAGAAAGTCTAAAGGGAAGAACACTGAAATGGTAATTTTGACAAATTGTTGGAGGTGTAGTGTGAAAAAGCAAGTGTGATGGTTAATTTTATGTGTCAACTTGGCTCAGCCATGGTGCCCAGATATATGGCTAAACATTCTGGATGTTTCTGTGAGGCTTTTATGGATGAGATTAACATTTAAATTGATAGATTTTGAGTAAAGCAGTTCTCCCTCCTCAATGTGGGTGGGCCTCATCCAGTCCGTTGAAGGCCTTAGCCTTAACAGAACAAAGACTGACCTTTCCCAAGGAAGAAGGAATTCTGCCAGCAGACTGCTTTTGGATTAGAACTGTAAGTCTTCCCTGAGTATCTAGCCTGCTAGCCTAGCCTATCAGAGTTTGGACTCATCCAGCCTCCACAATGGGGTGAACTTTAAAATTTCTCTCTCTCTCTCCACACACATACACACATATATCCTGTTGCTCCTGTGCTTCTGTTTCTCTGGAGAACCCTGACTAATACAGCACGAGCATGAGAAATTCCTGCAGCATATTAGCTGGAGACTTCAGCACTTCACTTTAACGACAGAAAGAACAATCAGACGGAAGATCAACAAGGAAGCAGAAGACTTGAACAACACGGTAAACCAAGTAGACCTAACAGACATCTATACAACACTCTACCAGACGACAGCAGACAATACATTCTTCTAAAGTACACAAGGAACATTCTCCAGGAGAGACCACATGTTAGACCATAAAATGAGTCTCAATAAATTTAAAAGGAATGAAATCACACAAAGTATGCTATCTGGCCACAATGAAATAAAATTAGCAAATTAAACCCATTATTCAAAACTTTCTCACAAAGATGGGATTATTTAGAAGATTTAAGAGATAAATAATCTTACACAAACTCTTCCACAGAATCTTGGGGATATTTCCCAACTCTTTTTTATGAGGCCAGCCAACACTTGAAGGGGACACTACAAGAAAGGGAACTTACAGACCAATCACTGTCATTAACTTAGGTGCAAAAATCCTAGGTAAAATATTGGCAAATTGAAACCAGTGATATATAAATATTTTAAATTATGACCAAAAGTTTTGTTCCAAGCATGCAAGCAGGGTTTCACACTTGAAAATCAGGTAAGTAATTCATATTAAAATAAGGAGAAAGTGCATATAATCACCTCAACAGATGCAATGTGATAAAACATACATTTATAATAAAAAATTTTTAAAAACTTAAATAAGGAAAAGAAGGAACTTCTGTAATCTGACAAAAAATACCCACAAAACACCTACAGTAAGCATCATACTTAACGTTGCATTATAAAAAGCTTTCCTCTTTGGATGGTGAACAAGACAGGAATGCCCTCTATCATCACTTCTGTTTCATATTGTTTTGGAATCCCTAGTGTAATAAGCCATGAAAAAGAAATAAAATAAAGATTAAAGAGGGAG